AGCGGTATCGCGCTGGATCTTGTAGAGGAGGCGCTGTCGAGGTAGCGAGACCGTGCGCCGTCGGCAATGGGGTCCCCGCCGGTTTGCATCCTAAAAGACCAGCCTCTTGTAAAATTTCCAGTGCATATTTGAGTTGACAGAGAACCATACCAGAAGGAGACCGAGCACATTCAATACCCAAGAAGTATTTGACAGGGCCCAAATCTTTGAGTTGAAAACAGCGGTCTAGATACCGTTTAAAGGAGGCACACATAGACGGATTATTGCCTGCAACCAAGATATCATCAACATATACCAAAACTGTGAGAATATCAGAACCACGTCGTAAAATGAATAAAGTATGGTCTTTATGAGCTTGTTTAAAGCCCCAATGACGAAGAGCAGAGCTAAGCTTGTGAAACTAGTTTCGCGGAGATTGTCGCAAACCATACAAGGATTTGCGGAGACGACACACTTTCCCAGGAATAGAATACCCAGGTGGCAACCGCATATAAACTTTCTCAATTAAATCCCCATTTGACCTCCCATTGTTTAGCCACAGCAACAAATAATAAAATACGTACCGTACCCATTTTAGCAACAGGAGCAAAGGTATCAGTATAGTCCGTACCAAATTCTTGGTGATTCCCTAAGACCAACAGGCGTGCCTTATCCCGCTCCTTGGTACCATCAGATCGGAACTTGGTGCGAAATACCCATTGACAACCCAACGCAGTCCGGTCAGGAGGGAGATCTGTGATGTCCCAAGTATGATTATTCTCCAAGGCATCGATCTCCTGTTGCATAGCTAGCCGCCAGTTTGCATGCTGCATGGCTTGCTTAAAAGTCTTGGGAACTTCGTGGGAGGAAAGAGCAGCTAGAAATCCACGGTACCTATCATGTAATTTCTCATAATGAACAAAATTATGGATTGGATACCGAGTACCTGAAGAACGGGAAGAGACAAGAGAAGGAGCAACATGAGCCAATGTCTGGGCGGTATGACAATAATAATCGGGTGGGCAGGGGGGCAGGGGCGGAGGAGAGGGGGGGCTGCCAGGGCAAGTGCCCCCCCTGCAAATTTCCAGCGAAGTAGTAGTAGTGTACCCCTTCTCCGATGGTAGGCTTGGTGTGCCCCCCCAAATTTTCAGGCATGCACTGTGGCGGCTGTGCACAGGGAAGAAGAAGAAGAAGCCCGCTGCAATTTCCGGAAAAAAATTAAGGGTTTGACCAAATGAGGGCTATACGCCTATACCCATTAAGTCATTAACAATTCCCAAGTTTTTTTCGTGCGGCAAAGCAAAAGCAAAAAAAGGCACTGTGACTGTCTCTATTCTCTCATGTTCGTGCGGCAAAGTGAAAAAAAATCCAATCATCTTCACTTTTTGAGTTTTTCTTCTTCAATTCTTCTTCTTCTTCACAAATACGAAGGCTCTCATTAGGTATATTCAATTTCCCTTGAATACTGTTAATTTATTTTTTTGAATACTTTAATTTATTCCCTTGTTCTAATTTTTAGGCAGATCCCTAATTTTTTTATTGATATTTAAATATTCCGTATTTGTTAAATGTTATTGTATATTCATTTTATTAATTTATTATTTTATTAGGTAATCTTGAGACCTGAGATGGATAAATTTGTTATTAGAGAAAAGAAGAATTTGACATTTTTAAATGATAAAGGCAAAGAAAAAGAAGTTTAATTTCTTCATCTCTAGAGAAAGAAAGTGTTATTTCAAATGATGATATTGTTGCTGATCTGGGATTAAGAAAACCAATCAATAGTTATCCTTTGGAAATTAGAGATGTCACTACAAAACTCTTGTTCGTCTTTTTGATATGTGGAATGCTATTGGTACAGTGCTGAATTTGTTACACCAGCATGGTGAGAGATCCAAAATTAAGAACAGTGCTAGTGTCATTCTTGATAAAATGGATTCTTTTGAGTTCGTTTTTATCGGAAAGTTTATGTTAAAAGTTCTAGGTATGACTAACACCTTATCAAAGATGTTACAAGCACGAGATCAAAACATTGGTTGTGCTTTGAATATGATTGGTGTTGTAAAAAAGAACTTGCAAGATTTTAGAGATCATGGTTGGGATGACTTTTTGAAAGAAGTTAGTGAATTTTGTGAAGAACATGCAATTGATATGGCTAACATGGAAGATTATCTTCGTGGCCGATTAAGAAAGAAGATGAGACAAACACAAATTTACTAAGATGTGTAATGTGTCTTGATCCTTCAAATTGTTTTGCGAGTTTTGATCAAGATCGGTTATTAGAACATGCTGTATTATATTCAGAAGATTTCAATTCTTGTGATCGAGTTGAGCTTAATCATGAACTTCAAAATTATATTTCTGACATGAGATCGAATGAAGTTTTTGCTAATATCTCCAATCTTGGAAGTCTTGCAAAGAAGATGGTGGAGATGAATTATCACACTTATTTTCCTTTGGTATATCAGCTTATAGAATTGACATTGATATTACATGTTGGGACAGCTTCAGTTGAAAGGAGTTTTTCTGCGATGAATATTGTCAAGACGGATTTACGCCACCGTTTGGGAGATGAGATGCTATCAGATTGTCTATTATGCTACTTTGAGAAAGAAATTTTTATGAGCATTGATGATGAAGTTATTATGCAGCGCTTTCAAAAGTTGGCATCTCGAAAAAATTTTCTACGACCTCAAAAAACTCTTACTCATTTGAGCAAATAAAAAGTATGTTTAGTTGCACTTTTCCAAATAAGGTTGTTACTATTATGAAATTTTTTTGTTGTTTTTTAAATAAATTTGTGCCCCCCCATGAAGTCTTCCCTGGCTCCGCCACTGCAGGGGGGCGACGTATACGGACTATGAGCATGGGTGGGGAGGGCAGGGGGGATGGAGAACTTACCGGGCTGTCCGGATCAGATGAGGACTCACTGCCGTTGGAAGACGACGATGGATTGGGGCTGCTGCCGGAGGGGGGATCAGTGGGTTGGGGGGGTTTCGGCAGCAGCAGGTTGGGTGGGGAAGTCGGCATGCATAGGTTGTGGGGAAGTATCCGGGGTGGGAGAGTTTTTAGGAATGGAAAAATGAAAGATGGATTCGTCAAACGAAATATCCCAGGTGTGAAAAAAACGATGAAACTCAAGATCATAAACCCGCTAACCTTTAGTGCCCGTAGGATATCCCACAAACATACATTTGACACTTTTTGGGGAAAATTAATTTAGTGGTCGCTGAACATGACGAACAAAACACAAACACCCAAAAACCCGAAGATGAGACAAGTCTGGAGGCTTTGAAGAAAGAAGTTCATATGGAGATTTTCCCTGTAAAAGTGGAGTGGCTGTGCGATTTATAAGATAAACGACGGTGCGAACACATTCACCCCAAAACTCAAGAGGTAAAGAGCCCTGAAACATTAGGGAACGAGCGACATTAAGAATGTGGCGATGTTTGCGCTCGACTCGGCTTTGCTGGGGTGTATTAACACAGGAAGTTTGCACAAGTACCCCCATACTAGTGTAAAATTCACGCAGAGGCCTGTTCAAAAACTCAGTACCGTTGTCAGACCGAACAACTTTAATAATTTTACCAAATTGAGTATGGATGAGAGAGAAAAACTGTTTTAAACAGCTAGCAACCTCACTTTTATCAACAATGAGAAAACCCCAAACAGCTCTGAAAAAGTCATCTACAATGGTAAGGAAATAATGAGACCCAGTAGAAATACATGGAGAATATGGACCCCATAAATCACAATAAATTAAGTCAAATAGGTTCTCAGCTTTATTAAGACTAGGCGAAAATTTAGAACGAGTCTGTTTGGAGAAGAAACAAATATCACAGGACTGAAAATTTTTAATTTCAGTATAGCTCTTATTAAACGGAGGGAGAGACAGAACTTGTGAAGATGGGTGGCCAAGACGCTTGTGTAACAAGGAAACAGACTCAGCTTTAGACGCTTGGGCTTGAGAGGGAAAAACATAGACTCCGTTGTGTGCTTCACATTGACCAATCCGAATCTTCGTAGTTCGGTCCTGTATCACACAAAAATGATCATCAAAGAAAACATGACAGTTATGTGAGTTGACAAGACAACTCACTGATATCAAATTGCACTTCAAATTGGGAACATATAAAACATTGTGCAAGATTAGGGAAGGAGACACTTGCACACGGCCATAAGAGTTGGCCACCACGTGAGTTCCATCGGGCAAACTGATAGTGCAAGGAGGCCGCGGCACAACATCAGTCAAACAATGCAATAAACCTGCCATATGATGAGATGCACCACTATCCACAAGCCATTCACAAGACATTGTAAAAGATGGACCTTGCAATTATTCAGAAATTGATGGTGCAGACGCAACAGAGAAAACCAAAGAATCACAAAGTAATGCCTGTTTCAACAGAATTATCTCCAATCCAATAATTGGAAGCAACAATAATTCCGAAAATCAAATGACAGCAAGAAGAGACACCAGTGCACTTTGCAACTTGCAAATTAAATAAAAGCCACAATTTGGCAAGCAAATTATAATCCAATTTGGCAGCAAGCCAAGATTGCCGATCAAATTATAATCCACAACTTGCAAATTAATACACTAGCCAAGATTGCCGATCAGCAGCAGCGCACAGTCACAGGAAACAAATACAGCGCATAAACCTGAAGAGGACTTATCAGCGGCGCACAAAAACCAGAAGGGATACAATCGCACAGAAATCAGCAGCGCACGATTACACGATCAGCCCAGATCGGCGAAAAACACATAAGGGATTCGTCGCACGCCGGAGAGTGGAAACGCTAAAGGCCTAGGTTTGGGTGCGATACCATGTAGAATTTTAGCGGAACTGATCTGTTTTTCATTAATCACAAACCGATATATATACGAGTGCAAAGATGGGCTAATCACACAGGCCCAATAACACAATATCTACGGCCCAATTACAAATACCCGCTAATATATATATATATATATATATATATATATATATATATATGATGGAGGGTTTTAGTGCGAGAAAGTGGAACACTACCGCCGATATTGCTCATCGGAAAGTTGGAATAGAGGGCGGTTCAATCCGTTCTACCTCTAGAGCACATGGCCAGCGGAAGGCTGTCATCCACGAAGGTTTATATTCAGGAATCTCTTCTTCCTCAATCAGATTCAAAATCGAATCAAAACATTTCCAGTTTGATATTTCAAATGGACGCATTCAACTTTGTGAAGAAGGGAGAAGAAAATCCTACAGATTTTCGGTAAGTTACAATATTCTCCTTTGGATTTGCAATTGCTTAGAAGGTTTCATCCTCAACCCAGTGACGAATTTACGGACTCAGCGTACTGAAGGTAATCGCAGATTTCATCTGTCTCTTGACGCCAATTCTTCTGGTTTTTACATTCGTCTTCAAGAATTGCGAATTGATGGCTATACTACTATTTTTATTCCCGAGGGTTTCAACAAAACTGGTATAAGGCTTTTTGTTACTAAATTGAGGCAAATTGGTTCTTCCATTGCAGTTTCTGGTAATCCTGATCTTGCTATTTGCTGCCATAACTGGAATTCGATTTGTGTTAAGATAGATAATTCGCAACCATCAATTTCAAAGGCTTTGTTTGATGTGGAGATCCAGGATAGTTTAGTTTCGAACAATGTTGATGACTGCATGACCTTTGAATCTGGAAATCAAAATGGTCTTCCAAAATCTGATTTGGTTCATTCCTTCTGTGCCTGATAGTATGGCAGTGGTTGCGTTCTCTGCACCTATTACACCCGAACCTCAGAAGGCAGCATACATTGCTTCAAAGAAAACAGATTCCGTTTTGAAGTTACAGACGGAGGATAAGGCAGTAACCTTGGGTGAGGTTGTAAGGCGAACTGTTATAGAGACAGATTCTCCAGAATACAAGGCTAATTTGGCTAGATTCGCGAGGCTTACAAAGGAATACTCGAAACCAAAGCTTATAAACCTTGGAGAACTCTCTGGAAGAAGTACTAAGAAAGAGTCTGCTACTTGTTACAAGGTTTTGATAAACCATAATACTGATGAAAAGGGTGCTTATGCTGATTCAAGAGATGCAAGTCAGGATTCAAATGCAGAAATGGGTGAGGACTTTGTTCCAGACCCAAACATTCTAACCTGCAACAAATTCAAGGCATTGGTCGATCCTGTACTTTTACAAAATGAGGTAGAAGTGAAAGAAGTCATAAGGTTGGGACATATAAAGAACTCAAGGACCAAAAAAAGAATCATACCCGAGGAAGGATATCTCTCTTACTCAAACGATCCTGCCACCTGGAAGTCCATTCCCACGGTCACTTCTAAAAGTTATCATGGCCGGTATGTAATTTTAGGACACACAGGTGAACTTTGAAAAGATGGAAAAAGAGCTCGTACAGCCTTACCTACACAACTCCCTCCGAACTACGACTACTCTTCTGGGACAATTCATTTAGGAATTGTAGTTTGGATGTAATCTTTAGTTTTTTGTTTGATTTCATTACGCTGCCAATTTTGGTAGCATTAGGTTTTTATTCTCTCATTTCGCTTCCACTTTTGGGTAGCGTTGTTTGTTTCCCGGAAGGTTTTGGCCTAGCCCCCCTCCGTGTTTTCTTTCCTTACATTGCTTTTCTAATAAAACTTAATTGCATATATATATATATATATATATATATATATATATATATATATATATATATATATATATATATATATATATATATATATATATATATATATATATATAAATTTAAAGGGAATTTATTAACAAAATGGAAGTACAAGATAAGGGGCGGCCTAACCCCAACAAACCAGCCAAGCAAAATTCCAAGCAAAAACCAAATACAAAAGGCTCAAAGCAACCAAAAAGAAGGGCTACTGGACCATGGTTGAAGTTGTAATCTTGCAAATATCCCTTTACAATATCATACACCAGTAGCTATGAATAAATATGTTGCTTTATGACCTATGCTTTTCGTCTGCATTATCAAGGGAGCATCTTGATAAGGCTAAGGTGACGAATATCCCTACAAGCAAGAGTATATAAACTAGACAACAAAAACCAGAGTGCAATAGATGTCTCCATGGTCAAATCCATATGCCCACAGTCAAAGTAAGGCCATGCTGTAGCTCCAAACCATAGTAACAAAGGCATAGAACCAGTTGATCTAGTGGAAAAAAAATTACCCCTTATATATATATAGGTTCTGGTGAGAATGCGATCTTAGGAGAGAAATGAGAAAGAATCTGGTGCTTTAGATTGTGTGATTTAAGGGTTAGGATTGCATCAAAATTAGGTGCAACAAAATGGTTTAAAAATGCATCACGTTGAAATGCATCATAATCCTTTGAAAATGCACTATTTCAAAATCTTAGCGCAGGATGCAATCTGAGCCGCACGATGCATCAGATCCAACTGCTAGATTTCATTCTCATTTCTCTATATATGTATGTATGTATGTATGTATGTATGTATGTATGTATGTATGTATGTATATATGTATATATATATATGTATATATTTATATATATATTTATATATATATGTATGTATATATATATATATATATATATATATATATATATATATATATATATAAGAGAGAGAGACCAAATCAATTCTTAGACCAAATTAGCATTAGAACTCTTCAGCACTTCTAATGTGCAAGAGAAGAAATATGGTTTATATGTTTTAGACGACTTATGATTTAAATTAAAAATATATTATTTTTATTTATCTATTAGCATGTGATACGATAATTAACTTACATAATATAACTAATCAAGATAAAAATATATCAACATTAAATATTATGTTTGCACTAACATTCTTTATGATTTCAACATCATTGAATAAATTCAAATATGGAATATAAATCTTTCATTTATAATAAAAATTTCAATGAATAAAAAAGATTTCTTTCATTAAAAAAAATACTCTCTTCACCTCCAAATAAATTTTATATTTTTTTCTTATATGCTTATTGAATGAACATAAAAATTAATAATACTCCAGTATATTTTCATATTAGATTAATATTCTATAAAACAAAATACGCCTAGACTATTTTTTAAATGATATACTATTTAAATTAAAAAATTAATGTCTTCACAAGCTTGAATAATTTTGTATTCAAATGTAAGGAAAATAAATGAATAAAAGTTTGTCAAATGTAATTACAAATTTCCATTCAGAATTGTGAATGGAAATTTAAAAATAAAACTATATATTTAAAAACTAGATCTAAAGTTTTAGAGAGTACAAACAAAAGGCGACATGACTATATCATTTTGAGTCCCAAAAAATAAATAATTTAAGTGATTAAAGTTTGACCTTGTGAATTGTTAACATGCAACTTAAATTGGGGCAAAGGGAGCATTACTTTCTCAAAATATAAAAAAAAATAATACTATTATTTTTTTCAATGGTGAGGGGGAAACCATAATGTAGCAGTTTGAATGTTGAAACGGTTCAAAACATGCTCAGTCGTCGTGGCATCCCATTTTTAAACAGTAAACAAGGCTACATTGCACCATTTGTTACGGAGTATTTGAAAATTGGAGAGTTCAAGCTCCACTAGCATACAGGCGACTCCATTCCTTAGCTGCAAAGGAAAAAATAGAAGAAATCAAAGACCATTATTATAGTAACATATGATAGTGTGATACTGGTAGAACTTTCCAGTTTGTCACACATAATCAGAGCGGCAAAACAACCTGTTTCAACAGCTTCGGCCTCATTTGTCTTCCAATGCTTAGCAATGTTTTCAGAGAGTGGATCGTCTGGATTCGGAGCACTCAGAAGGGCTTGAATGCTGAAACATCACAAGATATCACATTGTTTTCACATGTT